GTTTTGAAGACATGACTTCCTGGAACTCTGTCTCGAAGTTGACTGTTGTGAAATGTAATAAGGAATCTGCATATTCGCTTGATGACAACCCTTACATTCCGACCGTACTGACAAGAAATATGTGTAATACCTCAACTACTGAGCAGCTGAGGGTTATTTTTTGAAAAAGTGAATAAACAGGTGCTTACGAAAATATTTCAGTACTCGAAACTGATACGTGCAATGCAATTGAAGTCCATTATCTCTTCGGCACTTATGGCAGCTGGAAATGTGAGTACGAAACCTTTACGATTAGAAATGACCATACCAAGATGTCAAGTAATGGTAAGTAAGACGTCATCTTGGCCTCATCATTCATGAATCTGCAGCATTGAAGCATCCAAAAAGTGACATTAAAGGAGGAATTCACGATTAGAATGAAGGTCGAAGAAAGGGAAACTGACCTAGTTGAGGGACCCACGGACCTCCTGAGGGTGCGAACTGACGCGCAATTCGCATGGAAAAATTTGACCTCGGCGACCTATCATGCCTCAAAGCTGGCGGGTCCGGCGATCTCCGCCCACCGATCATCTGATCACTCGCCGTAGTTCAATACGTGGCGAGTGATTAGATAGCTGAGAGAGCGTAGTGTTGAAGAGGGCACAGCGATGAGAGTCGCATCAATGCTCGAATCAACGGGCAAGGAAGGGGTACCATTTCTCGGGTTCTGGGCCGTTTCTCATGGTTCTTCCTTCTTTCGTGTACCACTCACCATCCCTAGGTTAATTTGAAATGGGTTGCTTTTTCATCGTGAATTCGTCCTTTAAAGGAACGGGCCATGCTTTCTGGTGTGCGCCACCCCTTTCAATCCTAGTTAAAATCGTAGGGCTATTTTCAATGCTCTTTGTCCTATACAATGACTTATGGGCCAGCCGATGTAGATATCAATGTTCCTATCCTCCCCGATAGGTCTGGCCCAATAAAACTTATGAGAGCACACTCACCTAGCGCAGTAGTCACTAAGCTGTAGTACAATCACCTTTTGCGCATTTGGCGATGCTCACATATTCTTGGGTCTATTAGCTCCCATAGTTCCTTCCTGAAGCACTCAATAGTGCCACCATGCTAGCAGCTATCCTCCTAAACGCCATCGCTGTGAGGAACGTTTTTACTACTCCACGATGAGTAACCCCCACGCTGCTACGTTGTGTAGTTTCTCAAATGAATGAACATGAACACGACTCGATTGTGTTTTGGGTATCCATAAAATGCACTCCTGAGCTTAAAAGGATCCTTCCCGGCCAATTCTTGCATCCTTTCCCAACACGCTTACCCCTGATTTCGGAAGACGAGAAGAAAATCGAGGGCAGACACAACGTCGCCGTGTTTCTATGAATTGTGGTCTGACTCGATTTCGTCTTGTCTTCCGAATATAGATATTCATCTTGTAAGTAGCGAAAGACAAATGTGCTAACTTATTGGAGGGGGCCACGCCGGCGGCGCGCAGTTGCTCACCTGGCTTTCGGGATTCTCGGTGGAAATGTAGGCATCCCGAGGGGGTGGGGTGGGGGCCGGTCATCTTTGATATGCGGAAAAAGTCTGTAAAGGTTCGATGCTTCACTGTTCGCTCCGAGAGAGCCTAGCCCCCCCCCCCCCAACTAATTAGCCACCAAGAAAATTTAAAGAGCATTGACTTACTTGCCTTATTAGGCATCAACGATTTCGAATAATATGTGTCTGTGAACTTTCCGCTTGTGGGTAAAATACTGCTTAAATTGTGTTTACTTTAAGTCGATGACTCTCATTTTATAACGATTTGGTTTCTGACTAATTATTGTAGCGCACCTACGAGTGCATAGTAATAAATAAATAAATAAATAAATAAATAACATTAAATTTCACGCCACCAAGGATGAAGGAGCCACTATCAGGCGACGCAATGAAAGAATCGGGTTAAAACGCGCGATTTCGGAGAGTAGAGACAAATCGATCTTTAGAGAGGATGGAGTAGAAGTGTAAGATGTGAATGCAATTATTTGAAAGACCAGAAAAAGTTTCTAGTGACGGCACTCCGAGAAGCAAATGAAGCATCCCGTCGCCAGCATATTGACAGATGTCCGGCGGTATTTGAACGCGTAGCAGCCCTTTCGGTTTTTCGATTTTTGCCAAAGAAATGCAGTTTTTTGTTCTTTTCGTTCTTATCGTGAACGATGGCTCCCAAGCCAGTGAGATATGTAGAATCACGATTTCCCCGAGAAGGATCCTTTATGTCGAAATAACTAGTAGTAATTAAAGAATAACAACTATAAAAACAAAAATCCTAGGGCGTAAGATGGCACGAGAGAAATCGTTATACAATTCTCATAAGTCGTTTCAAATCGTATTTTGTTCAGAATACTGCGCAGTCCAGGCAAATCCAGGATATTGCTCAGCAACTTGGTGTAATTAACGATGCTCAAGCCAACAAGACTGTGCCCATGAGTGCGATCAGTGCTATTATGGGCACTGGAGGAGCTCAGCCAAACATGACGAATGCAGTACCTGCAGCGGCACCACGCGCAATGGCTCGCGCGGCTGCTCTCGGGCCAGCTACGAACACAGCAAGCGCCGGTGGTCAGGCCAGCGTAGCACGTTCAATTCTTCACTTTTTTGCTTGACTGAGTCTGTGATTTTGTGATAAATAATTCGATAAAGGAATCTCTGTTGTCTCGTCGCTGACTTTAGGACATTTGTATGAAACCATGTGTTATTTTTCGTGGAACGTCTCTTCCTTCGCATCTCCCTAGGCCTTCATCTCCATATGTGAACGCTGCGCGCGCTTCGCGCGCAAGGCAAGGGAGGTTAACTCCAACATGCCGGCGAAGCGCGCTCCGGCCAGTTCGACACGCTGCCACATTCACCCTTCTACAGCTCAGGTGCTCCGTACAATGGACGGGCTCCGTATCGTCCATACTGTCGTCGTGGAGTGCGCAGAAAAACGACAAAAGAGGCATGCCGAATGCCACGTGGCATCGATTTGTTGCGGCGGCGGATTACGGTAACAGCCGTTCCGCGGCCTCTTGTTATCCGTCTAATTTCACCATATGGTACTTTCCGCTCTCCTTCCCTTTGGTTTTAGAGGAAAAAAATCACCCTGTGTTCACTTCTTTAACGTTCCTTTACTTCAGGCAAATTTTCATTCTTCAAACACTTAAGCCTCACCAGCTCTTTTTTGAACCTTTTTGGAAAAAAAGTAAATTTTCAGAGGCGGTGGTTATAATGGGTGGGTGGGAGGAGCAGTTTTGATGATGCATTGGACGTCACTGGTGGAGTATACCCTCAACGCGGTAGGGGTATGGTTGGGACCGCCTCTTAACACCCTTTCACCAATGACGTTCAATAACCTCATGAAAACTGTACCGCCCTCAAGCCGTCGTATCACTGCCTTTGAAAGGATTTCTTCTTGCCCGCACACAAGAAGGACAGCATGTGTGGCTACGAGTATGCACAACGGTTGCTTTATAAGTACAAACTATGTGTAATAATAACCACAACATTCATTAGCCCATGTCGCACTTTGCGATTCGAGCGACTCGCTAGCGTTCGCGTCGTGTTGCGGTACCAGCCAATCGAGCGATTCGCTGGCGACCGCGAACGATAGCGAATCGCAAAGTCTGAAATTGCATTTAGATTCACTCCAAGAACCAAATGCTTCCTTTTGTTATATATTAGAGAGAAACCAATCTCTATTTCAACCACAACCACTTTGGGGCCGAGAAGCAGACTATCGACAACGAACATGTACATGCCGACAAACCGGGGCAAAATTATCGTACAAAACTCACGAGCTGCACCAATAAGAGTTCTCGGGCACCAAAAATCAATAGGAATGAATAAAAAAAAAAACACAAAAAAAAAAAAAAAACACCAAAATCAGTAGGAATGAAAAAAGCTACTCCTAACCTCGCAGATCGGTGACTTTATGTAAATCGCAGTGAAAATGCTGCTTGACGTCCTAAATTCAGCGAGTAGTAAAATGTTTTCTCTTTGTCATTGCACGATTGGATCGAAGTTCTGCTGTAATGCCTGCGTAACATCTAGTGGGAAGTTCGAAGGCGGGGGTCGTGCCCTCCCCCCCCCCCCCCCTTGAAAGCTGATGATATTAGAGGGGTAGTTGTACCGAAATCCCTTGAAGAAAGTGAAAACTGAAATCGGCCGAACGCCACGGATGACGCTGCCCCCCCCCCCCCTATTTCACCGTCTGAAAGGAGATGGCACGCTAATAAGCAAGAACCGAAACGCATCCGGCGCATGGTCTCTCGTACGCTCTTTATTCAACTTTGCGCCACATAAGGCGTTGCCTCAGCATTTACAACCTTCGTTTTGGCCCTATAACCCTGAACCTAGTTGCCATAAATCCTAGCGTATTACAATTTTTAGAAGTTTGAAATTATCCATACAGGAAATTGGTTAGCTCGAGGATGAGTATTTGAAGCCGCGTACAAAGTGAGACGATGGCGGCTAATGTGAGCTAATGGACGAGATACCTCGCGCAGACCTCGGCGGCCGCAACTTGGATCGCGACGTAGCGGCTAACTCAAACACGCGCGGGTTAGTGGAGCACTGGAGCAAGCAGGTTCAGAAGCAGCTCGTCCGATCCCACATTTCAAGAGGGAAGCGGGGGGTCCATGTTTCAACACGTTGCAACCTTGTGATGTCACACCACCCCATAATACGTAGCAGACTAGTTTTGCTTGTTTTATTAAACGTTTTGTCGTGTTCTTCGTGTTCCAGAACAGTCTAGGTACATTATTGGGTACGAAAAACAATTTCCCCATTACTGATGTTGAACTCATTGAAGAATCAATGACTGTGATGAGAAAATCTGAAAAAAAAAATGCCGCAATACACGCAAACGGCGGTCGCCAATAGGTTAACAGCTTCGGCGAATTGCCTTGCTTCTTTCTTCATTTTCAGTCCAAGTAGCATGCCACACAATCTTCTTATCGACCGTTATTACCCCAACCCTTCTCCCCCGCCCCCCAAAAACTTGATCCTGCTCAAGTTTTTGCTTGGCTTTTAGCGTAGGACAGGCACATATGATATTCCTGACGCGGTGGCTACGCAAATAACGGTGACGACACCGTATTTTCCGAACAGAAATGTGTGTAAGTGGGACTGCTGCCCGCTACTCGAGAATCGGGAAATTCGTGAGCCAGGGGGAGTGTGGTTGACAAACTACCTTGAACCCGGTCCTTTAAGCCGCCCAAGGTCCATCTCTCGTCTGCGCTCTCTCACCTTTATCAGCGGCTCATGACCATTGTGATCCCACACACATTCAAACTTTTGCCACACTGTAGTTGGCTCACCCACCTCGAAGTCCCTCCCTCCTACAAGGCTTAAGGCTTAGTCCTAGGGCTCTCACCTCCTTCCCTGGGATTTGGAGCCGAGCCAGGCGCCGTTCTCTAACTGTCTGTGCCCTCCGCCATTCGTGGCAGGACCATGGAAGAAAGTTCAAGTAGTCCGTAAACCGAAGAATGTAGCCATTCTAGTGGGTGCGGCGGTGAAAGGCAGTCAGTTGACATGCGTGAAAACTGAGCGGCCCTCCCCCCGACCTATAGCACCCATGGAACCACACCATGGTGTACACGCTGTTCGTCATGTTCCTCCGCTTTGGAATATCTCAACGACCGCATTTTTGATGAGGACTGCGCAGGGGGTTTGTGGACTACTTGATTTTTCCTCAATGGTCCTGCCCGCGATGGCTAGAGCACAGACGATTAGAGAACGGGTAAATGCCCTAGGACTAAGCCTTGGAGAGGAGAGGGACCCGCGAGAGAGCGCAGAGGCGGTTTAAAGGGCTGAGTTCAAGTAGTCCGTCAACCACGCCGCGTCAGGGGCTGCTAGAACCGATACAAATTAGGTGTGATGCGGCGAATGTGCAACGACACACCTCAATCTCACGCCTTTACTTTCGGTAAACTAGTGTAAGTACAGTAAATCTGAATTAGCTCAAATGACTTTCTCCTCTTCACAGGAAACAGAACCCCCCTTGCCAAAGCTTCATCCTCCTACAGACCTGCCTGAAAGAGCAAGAGATCGCCCACTCCTTGAAGTTGCACAATTTATCGCGTAACATGCATCGGATTGGCAACGGAGCAGGGTATCTTTGGGCGGGAAAATTAGAACTCTGCTGTAAGTATTGTTAATTCTCGTCCTCATGTGAAGTGTAGTTGATTTGTAAATTGTATTTTTATGCTATACATGCATATTTTACTGCTTCTAGTGTGACCACTACTTCCTTAAGTTCAGGTTCTTGGGAAACCGAAAAAGGGAGCAAGACTGACTTTTGAAATGCCTCAACAAAGGAAGCGAAGTACTCCGTTGGCTCCTGATGCTGCTGCGAAGAGGCGTAAAGCAGATGAGCAATTAGTCAATAAGGTACAATACTTGAACTTCCTAAAACTTTTTCCAACTCACAAACCTCGCGTAAAAAAATTAGGGTTTGTGAGGCGTTCCTTCCTTTTGTGGTTATCACCATTCCGATGCAGTCTTTACCCAAAAGCATCATGTTATAAACCTTTCTATCTATTCATAAACTAAATACGTTCAAGTTTAGGGGGACTTTGAAGCCCATCTTGAACACCTATCGCAGATTTCTGAAGCTGAGAGCATCTCAGTGACAGAGAGAATTGAGCTTGAAGAAGGTCTTGGTTCGACAAAATCCATCGCTTTCCAGGTAAAATCCGGTTACTTGTCTAGCACTACGTTCCATCTAGGCTTGTACAAGATGCTGACTTTGACTTCTTATTGTTAGTGATTGCTAGAGCTTTACATATTACACAATTTGGAACGGTCTGAAAAATCAAATAAGCTTTAGATGTCTCATTTTGGCGCTCTTAAAGTATGGATTCATGCGGTTTTTTCTATAGTTGAGATTCTAATGATATACGATCTGCTGAAAAACTGAATTATCTGTGGAATTTCTCTGCCATTGGTAGCCATGGGTACATGCGGCAGTAATTAGAACTTCATTTAATTCAAAACTACTTGGCAATGTTCAGTGAATTGAGCTAGATTAGATAAAAGTAAGGATGAGGCTACGGCCTTACTCGTTTGGAAATGTCTTACCTATGGTTAGTTGCGGTTCATGTTGAGAAGAAGGAAACCCTGTGCTTCTACAAGTTGCCGTTCATTGAATGAACTTATTACCTGTTACACTTGCAGTTAACAAAAGCGCGAATTTAACGCTATAGAATGATGTTATGCCTAGGTATTCGATATCGAAACATATCATGAGCCAGGCTCAAGTACAACGTTCGATAGGACAAACGTCAAGCTGTATGGTGTTACTCAGCGAGGGAACTCAGTTTGTGCGATTGTGACGGACTATTTTCCCCATTTTTATTTCCAGGTAAGCATCAATCTTGTTACTATGGAGAATTTTATCAAACTGCCCGAAAGCATAATTTTCATGTCTAGGCCCCTGAGCGTTTCGCTGTTGAACACTTGGATGTTGCTCAAAGGAATCTCAACAACGCAATTGCAACCTCTATGCGGCGAGCCAACTCCAACCTTCAAATGTCTTCTGTTGTTGTTGATAATTTGGTGCACTTGAGTATCGTCGAAGGAGAGAACATTTACTATTATAGAGGTAAGCTGACTTCTAATTTTTCATAGGAATTATGATCTTTGCTCTTCGTTCTTCTTTATTATAATTTGATTATATTATATTTCAGGTTCCGAAAAGAAGTACCCCTTCATTAAAGTATCTGGTTCCATTCTAGCATTGAACAAAGCTAAACAAGAATTGAA